TCGTTGCGTCTCGTTGCGTTTTACTGTTGCTCGTTGCGTCTCGATGCGTCGCGCTATTTCTCGTTGGTTGTTGTTACGTCACGTTGCGTCGAGCTGTTGCTTGTTGCTTCTCGTTACGTCGCGTTGATTCACGTTGATTTTCATTGCATCTCGTTGCGTCGTGCTGAATCTTGTTGCGTCGCGTAGATTCTCGTTGCGCCTTGTTGCTTCACGTTGATTCTCATTGGTTCTCGTTGCGTCACGTTGCGTCTCGTTGCGTCGCGCCAGTTTTCGTTGGTTAGTATTACTTCACGTTGCCTCGCGCTGTGTCTCGTTGGATCTCGTTGCGTCGTTCTGAATCTTGTTGCGCGTCGTTGCGTCGTGTTGAATCTTGTTGCGTCTTGTTGCGTCACAATGATTCTCATTGGTTCTTGTTGCGTCATATTACGTCGCTTTATTTCTCGTTGCGTCGGGCTGAAGCCTGTTGCGTCTCGTTACATCGCGTTGATTCTGGTTGGTTCTCGTTGCGTGTCAATGCAACCTGCCGAATCTTGTTGCTCTTCGTTGCATCATGCCGTTCCTCGTTGCGTCTCGTTGCGTCGTCTTGAATCTTATTGCGTCTCGTTGCATCACGCTATTTCTCATTGCGTTTCGTTGCGTCGTTCTAAATCTTGTAACATTATGTTGCGTCCTCTTGAATCTTGTTGCGTTTCGTTGCATCGCGCTATTTCTCGTTGCGTTTCGTTGCGTGTTTCTAAATCTTGTAACGTTTTGTTGCGTCCTCTTGAATCTTGTTGCTCTTCGTTGCATCATGCTGTTCTTCGTTGCGTCTCGTTGCGTCGTTTTAAATCTTGTTGCGTCTCGTTGCGTCGTCTTGAATCTTGTTGCGTCTCGTTGCATCGCGCTATTTCTCGTTGCGTTTCGTTGCGTTTTTCTAAATCTTGTAACGTCTCGTTGCGTCAGCTTGAATCTTGTTGCGTTTCGTTGCGTCGCGCTGTTTCTCGTTGCGTCTCATTGCCTCTCTTTGTGTCGCGTTGTGTCGTTCTTTTCTAGCTTGTTTAAACGAGATATTGAATAGGGAACCGTCGAGATTGACTTCCACGTTTCGACCTAGAACGATGTTGTAGCGATAGAACTGAGTGACGAGGCCTGCGAAGCGAGCTTGCGCAGGCAGACCGCGACTCGAACCGAGTAACCCATACTTTGTGAAGGCGCATAACAAGCACAATCCGCAGGTTTGTCAGAGGCCAGAGGGCAATTGAATGCGCCGTTGGCTCCCTCCAAAGTGGGAAGAAATGCAGAAATCCTCGTGTCCCAGACACGCCAATAGAAATGTCACTCCTGCTCCACGGCCCAGCTGGCTGGTCCGGTCTGAAGTTGAGATGAGCATTGACGAAATGAGCGGGAGAACAACCACAACCAGCCAGTTTCCGGGCCCGACGAGGAGAGGAGGTATCGTTCACTTCAGACATGCTGGAGCAATTTGACATGATCATTGCTTTGCCGAAGCGAACGTCAACCGTTAAATGAAATTGAAAAAGGAACATGCTCACCATCATCATGTGGACTAGGCCGATTGTAAAAATGAGGATAATGCTTGCTATTATAATGATGATGGTGATGCCGATTACGATGACGATGAAAATGACGTTAATGATGATAATGATGCTGATAGGAGTGAGGGGAATGAGTAGGCTGAGTGTAAAATGAGAGAAAGAAAAGAGGAAAAGGAAGGAGCTCATCGGGATGATCATGTACATGATTATGATGATGATTACGATGATGAACATGTTAAGTATGTTGCTGTTGGAAGTTGTGGTGCGGATGCTAAAGAGGAGCAAGTGGATATGGAGGAAGAAGAAGAAGAGGAGAAAATAGACGGAATGTGAAAGTGAAGGACGATCTTTAGGGAGAAAGGAAGGAGGAGGATCAGATCGTTTTGGCAGAGGAATAGGAAGATTGAGTGGAGGATGTGCAAAAAAATGGAATGACAATAAAGAGGAGCGTTAGGATTAAAGAAATGGTCGATTTTAAGAGGTCGGTCTATGTCGGTAGATGAAAATCACAGTCACCAATTTACTGATACAGCAAATACACTCTTTATTACTTGACATGTAAATGAGAAGAATAACTGGGCTTTGATGTGTATCATGAGATGCGGTTGATGATGATTGATTTGACCAGAAGACCACAGCCGATTCGCGTCGCACCGCAGCGGTTGGGCGTTAATACGACGTTCATGTTGGTACAGTCGTCAAGCAATCCTCGTTCGTTTCGCGTGAAAACCGACTGATGATACCTCCTCTTCAAAAGTGCCACTCATTCTTGTCAGTGCTGAGTCGACAGACGCCAAGTCAGTAAGTCTGTCCGGTTATTTCTAACATCGTATACAGACTCATTATTAAAAGCTAAAGTTAATATTTTTCGAATTAACTATTGTTTTAGTGACTATCAGTAAATCAGTAGTATGAAAAGTTTGCAACCAATTTCG